TTGGGACGAATTTCATTACGACTGCCTGCGTGCCACGACAGGCGGACTCGCCAAGATTTCGAAGGGCTGCTCTAAAACCAGAAGAGGCAAGTCAGAATTTGAGAGCAGCGCTGTATTTGTAAAGGTTTGATTAATGTGTGCACCGAATTTTTTATTTCTAGGCACTTTCCTTCTGATTTTATTGAAAAAGTACAAGGCTCCCAAACTTTTGCCCCACCCTGTACTATAATAAGCGCTGAGGCCGCCCATCTTATTATTTGTGTATATCTGTTTGTCAGGGACTTACGGGGGGTCAAAAATAGGGTCAAAGGGAAGTCGTGAGAAATTTTGGCTTCAAAAGGGATATCGTTTTCAAAATTCTGAAATGCCACCTCCTGCCGGGCCCTGGTCGCTGTCTTTGACAAAGTCTTTTTGTATTGAACTTAGTCGAGGGCTGAGTCTGCGCAACACGCCTTTTGATATCAGACTTTCGACGAAAAATTTGTTTGTGTAGATGTGTGTGCATGTCAGAATAGCCTAAAATTTCCGGCGAACCTCTGCACCCGTCATGGGATTAGTGAACCAGGAAACGAATCTAGAGTTGAACGCTGCTGGAACGGTGAAGAACATCATAAATAGAAAGTATAGACAACAGATAAACATCAGAAAATATACGCGATTGCCATCAAAGAACATTCTCATATACTGATTTCTGGTCAAATCCGCACACCGGTTTAGTGCCAAAAAAATACAAGTGAGACAGCTGGAACACCAGCAACCTGTAAATACGAATCAGTTCTCAAAAATAAAGATTTTTTCACGCTATCTTGAATGTGCGAGGAGCGGCTCCATCAGATTCTAGCATAAGTAAAAAAATGATAACGTTCTTTGTTTGAAACGTATAGCAGGCAAATCAAAAATCATTTTTATCAATTAGATTGAAATGCAAGCTTTGCTCAGAGTAGAAAACCTGAAATTTTTGTTTATGGTTAATTTAAATTTTACCCATTTTTTTGTTTTGCTTTTATTTCTCAGTCTTTGTATAATGGAGATCTCAAGACGCCCTCAGAAAGTAATTCAATTTCTTTCTCATAACATAAATACCAAGCAAAACCGTAACGATAAAAAATCATTCTCAGGAGCGATGAGAACTTTTGGTCTACTTAGCATTGTTGTGACTAACTTAGCGAAGGCTGATAAGTGGAAGTAACTTTGATGAAATGATTGTTTTTTCAATATGATCTGTTATGTAAATAAGTATCTATAAATGGCAGCCGATTTGAGAGAAAAGTTTAGTCTCACTGCTTGTCACAGAAAGGCAGATAAAGACTCTCTACTGAAGTGTTCACGAACACAACAAATATGCATATAGATATAATTAGACTCTTTTGGGTTTTATCTTCAAACGTGTCTGGCCTTTTCGAATATAAGAGAAAATTATATGCGTTACTTTTTCACTCCGTTTCGTGCTTTCCCTTATACAAAGTATGGCTTAATTTCTAAGTCTTCCTCGGAACTCTTCAGTAAGGAAGGAAGACTTGATATCAAATATAAAGTTGAAATTTAGTAATTATTTTTGACTGAAAAATGAGACGTTGTTACCTCCAGGAATATCAATAGTTTCTAAAGATCCTATTTTTTAAAAGCAAGATAGGCAAATCGTAAGTAAGAAGCGAAAAGCAAAGAAAACTTTTCTACTAAGTGAATGCAAAAATGATAGCCGTTTTTTCAAGCCTTTTCAAAACCACTTTTTTTCATCAAAAATTTTTCTTCGAAATAATCACATCATACCACTATCTAGCAGTGGCGTACCGAGGGGGGGGGGCGGGGGGGGGGGGGGGGCGCGCGCCCCTCCCCGAGAAACGGGTCGCGAAATTTTTGAAAGTTACTTGCATGGGTTATAAAAATGTGCAGAGGACTTGTTTTTACTTGTAAATAATTAAATTAATTTTTATTTTTAAAAATTCAAATTAGCTTTATGAAAAAATTTTTTCGGGGGCGTGGCTGACGCCACGCCCCCTTTTTTTGAAATTTTGGGGTCAGGGGCCCGGAAAATATCGGGAAACATCCCGAAAAATTTTTCGGAGTGCATGGCTGACGCAACGCACCTTCTGGAAAAAAAATTTGTCCCCCCCCCCCCCGAGCCGAAATCCTGGGTACGCCACTGCTATCTAGCGATGGTTGAAGCCGATTACCAACATCATATTCTGAAAAGTTGTAGAGCTTTCAAATTACAGCATCCAAAATCAAAATTTCGTTGCATTCACTTTCTGGCCTCTCAAAAACTATCTAAACGAAGTATCGGCGCCTCAACTTGGTTGGTCGTTTTGGTCATTCTATGGCCCTTAACACGTTGACGACAACGTGCAATTTTAGTTGTCTGCAGCGTGGGACAATGCCTTTCACGAACAAGTCAAAAATTTTCGGCTAAAATTGTGCAGATCGACAACTACAGTATATCTACAGTAATTCTGTGAAGCGGGTGAGAAACGCAAAAGTATCTTCTAAGGTCAGAGCGTAAAAGAACTTCTGAAACAATTGTATTCCAAGATAACAGTCATTTTAACAAGATTCAAGCCGTAACCCACCATGTGGGTCACATTGTCCCAAGTGGCAGTCAGTGCATGGCCAACCATGTGGGTCACGTTGTCGTCAATGTGTTAAATTTCTTCTGGAAAAGGCAATCGCCAAGCTTTGCTCATTTCTGTTAACGTAATGGTAGGGCATCTTGTTGACAGTTTCTGCCAGAGCTTTCATCTGTTTAGTACGCAGAAAACTAGAAAATTCTATAATTTGGGACTTTCAGGACTAATGAAAATGTTGAAAAACTGACACTTTTGAATTTCAATTTTTTCATTTTTGCGAATATTCTTTGTCCAGGCCCTCTCCATCTCTTTTTGTCCTAATGACTTGCGGCTACAAGAGAGGCAACTCATCACTTATACTAACAAACTTTGAAGGGAGTTGTTCTGTCAAAAATAAGGCTTAAGAAAAACACTGTTTTTGTTTTCCAATCCATATCCTTCTGCCTGTTTGTAGTGTGAGTATAGCTCAATGTGCGCTGTATTGCAAAAGATTTGCTGCTTCTTATGGTCTTTACCTCATTCGGTGATATAAATTTTTAGAGAGTTATAGCAAGTCAAAGTGAGAATTTGAAAATTGGTCATTAGTTTTGCATCAACCTAATGGCGAGGATCAATGCACCATCTCAGACAATTGCATCGGAAAGTTCGCGGCCTCAAAGCGTGCTACATGGCGCGCCGCGGTCCTTAAAATTTCGGCCGCGCACGCCGCGATCCATGCATATTTTACCGGGAACGCCGCGGCCAAAGTTGAAATTGGAAAGAGATTATCGGGAGAGTCGCGGCCCAATCACCTCACTTGGCGTGCCGCGGGCCTTATCAAAGGCCGCACTTCTTACACGCTATAGCTTAAGGCAGAACGTGAGGTACGCCGCAGCGATGGGGCTACCCTAAGTGTCTGTGGGGCTGCTAATCGCTGCTCGGGTTGGGCTGTGTGACAGTTGAGTTTATATGCTCACGAAACAAACTTCAGCAATCGGTTAAGTGTCATCGACGACAGTAGATGATGTCGACAGATGAGCTAACAAGTTGCTCAATTTGTATTCAGTCGTTGTCATGAAAGACAGGCTCAAATTTTTTCACTCTTCCTAGGCCTCACAAGCATGCTAATCGGGCCAACCATCGGGCGCTTACAGGATGCGCCGCGGTCACTTACCGAGTCCAATATCGGTTTATACCGGGCAGCTCGCGGCATGGATGATTGGTGGCCGAGCAAGCACCCGCGAACTTCCCGATGCAATTGTCTGAGATGTGCAACTACATGAACAATCGCACTTCCTCAATGATTAAGACTTATAAAACAACCAATGAGATCAATCAATTTTAACCAACGGAATAACAAACTCAAAGTTGGCTTATATCTCCAGAACTTTATAGTGGTCAATAACCTGAATAGATGCTATCAATCATGCTCTCGCCCGTGTCTATAACATGTATTGTACGACATAATCCCAACCTCATACATGCTTTGATTAGTGAGCTGTTTACATCCAAAGAAGCAGTGAATATGGTCGTGTTTGTGTTTGATGGCAAAGAACAGAGGAATGCGTCTACCGTGTCAGGAAATTTACAAATTTTGCCTCTTCAGTTTGATGCACAGTTTAGTAGTGTGTGAGTTCTCTTGCATTCAGCATTGTTACCCAATCAATAAAAATGAAAGTTACAGTACACCACATCCTTCATTGTTCCTCCTATTTGCCACAAATCATGGAGTCAGGAAAAAGCTATGGCATGGACGTGCCACCAGAAGAGTATTTATGCGACACGGATTACGAAGAAGTTGAACCTTTCTATTAAAACCACAACAATAGCGCATTGGCAACAGTTCACCCATCGTCTTGTAAACAAAGAGTAAGGCTAGCCTCTTTTTTGGCATCCTTGCATGCTGATACGTCGCCGGGTGCACTTGATTTAGACGAGATCTGAAGCGAATTAGATCAAGGCTATCACAGCACCCCAAGAGTTCACCAAACGGCAAAATTTGTGTTTGATCGCAGGCGATCCATGCTTTGGGAGTAGCTCGGCTCAAATCGAAGCTTCTAAACTTTTATCAAACCGAAGTAGCCCTCAAGCATAGATGGGAAATCACTCTGTGACAGTGTAAGTAAAATTTTGACACTCCATAAACTGGAGCTGCAGAGCGCGAACGGTCTTCTGCACGAAATCTCATTACGAACGGTACGAAGGGAGCGCGAGCTGAGGCCAAGATCCTGCGCAGAAGGCTACCATTGATTAGGCCATTCCTAGCATAAGAAGAAGGGCTGTCGACTTTCTCACTGTAGAGCTACTGCGTGGCTCTGCCAAAGCAATTGCTTAATTAATGCCTACCTTGTTAGAAAACGATATCCCACACCCTGTCTTAGTGTGACCTGTCTTGATTATACATTTAAGCTGAGAACCTGACATATGCGGTATGCTTAATTAATAAAGGCACCCGTTTCAATGACCAGCAATTTCCGCTTGCCGTGTAATTTCTATCTTGAACTTCAAATACTCACCACAGCCGAAGGCACCCAAAGTCAGCAGCGTAACTGGATTTGTACAGAATACAGCTCCTTTTAATGCAAAATAACCAGTCATGATAGAATTAACAAAAAGCGACCACATGTCCAAAACACCAAGGAAAAACATTATTTTATAACAAGAATTTCGGAACAATTTTGATCTCCATATAGAAACGAGACACGGTAGGTAGAGACTCTTAACGGTTTACTTGCAGTGTTACTTGCAAGTTTTCTTGCAGAAGTGCTTACCTCCAAGATTGTTCCTGTAACAAGAAAATAGATACCTAAAGGCAACTGCACTGCTCCGGTGGCGTACCATTCTTCCATAGTTTTAGTTGAACAATCGTACAACGGTTCGTAAGGATAGCCATGGATTACGGTGTAAATATAAGCCATTTGCAGATCTACTGACATTTTTGCATTGACAATGTGATGCCTGCAAATAAAATCATGGTGTGTTTCTTGGCGTTGCCAGCATCTTGCTGTAATGTGTGGAATGTCATATATCAGGCTCAACTCAAATGAACTCGAGTGGAAAAGACGTGGAAGAAGAGGTTCTACGGCGCTCGCAAGTGAGTCTAAGGAGAAGCCGTTGTTTCATAACTTTTCAATCTGTCATTGTTCTTCGCCCCGTTTTTGTTATCAGGCGTAGGCAGCAACTGAATAACCTCGTTTAATAAAATGAGAAGCATAACCGCGAACAAGACCTTTTCACTACCAGCAGTATTATATTAAGTCGTTCCAAAGGTAATGTCCCTTTTTTCAAGTGAACGCTACATTTCGTGGAAGCAAGATTTCTAGGAGATCTTGGTATCATTCGATGCAACATTTCATTCTCCTTCTAGTCTTTCTTTCCGGTCATAGGAGCATTGCACAGTACTCGATAAGCTCCAGATTACCAAAATCTGCGGCCCATGCTTTTTGAAAAGGTCAAATTTCAAATTTTTCTACATTTCTACAACAATCGTCCGAAGGAGTCCAAGTAACAGGTGGAGAGCAAGCCCCGTAGGAAACAGCACGATTTTTTTCTACTTTCCATAGCTTGTCATAATTTTTGTAAAAATTTTTCAATGGATTCACCGAATTTTAGCAGGCTTGCCTCAGACACAAATGCATCAAACACCAATAAATTTTGATTACAAAGTTGGACTATGGTTTGAAACAATTTTATACAAAGCCAGTGAGCGTTTACCGCTTCAATTTAACAACTTTCGGATTTTGAGGTACAGACTGGCGCGTCTGGAAAACCTGAATTACGATGATTTTATTCTGGAAGATTTATATTATAATTTGGAAAACAGCTGGTTAGAGAGGAGAAAAACCTACGTCGAATGACACACGAGTTGCTTGCCGGTTGTTGTTTTGTGAGGTTTGAGTTGAAAAAATATGGAATTTGATAGCACCGAAAAATTGATTCTAGAAACTCTAAGAAGAGTAAGGAAAAGAAAAATGCGTTTTGTGTTCTATAGGATTCGCTCTAATTATCTGTTACTTGTACATCTTCGGGAAATTATTACAAAAATATAAAAAAAGCATGAGTCGCATGTTTTGGTCATTTTTCGAGGGCTCATTGAAAATTATGCAATGAAACTATAATACAACCATTAGAAAGAAGACGAAATGCTGCATCGACCGATCTTAACAGCTCATGAAAATCTTGGTTCCCCGAAATATGGCGTTCATTTGAAAAAAAAAGCGACATAACTTTCGGAACGACCTAACTGACTAAAAAAGCGATAAACAAATGAAAACAGCAACAAAGAAGAGAGTCTTGGCGTTTACAGTTGAAATGGCGGCGGCAAACACGATTGCAGGTGTAAAGCCAACCTATAGTCCCTGGGATGACTGTCACTGAGTGGCAAATCGTAAAAATTTCTGAAATTTTCATAATAACTTTCAAATCTCAATGGAAAAGGCAAGAACACTTCGGTATTTTGGCATTGATCGAAAAGTATTAGGTTGGCTAATAAATAAGTTCGGTCGCTTTTGCGGCTTTTATTAGGTTGTCCTGAAATTAATGCAGGTTTTGATTTTCAACCGTAATAAGTCATACACTTCTCATTTCTGAATAGGTTGCAAAGCATTATTCGATAGAACAAGGCAAGCTCTACAAGACAGCTATCTTGCTTTAGCAAAGCTCTGATCCACCGCAAGTTTCGAGCCAAAAACTAAAAAGGTTTAACTTAACAAAAAATTGAGAATAATCGTGACTCACTTCATAAAAATCCTACAAAAATTCTAACTTGTTCAAGTAAACTCATTCCACTTAGGGCATTTATATACGCCATTGCCGTATTTTTTTCTGTTAGAAATCAAAAAAAAAACGGAAATTTTCGTGCATTTGCCAAAGTGGCGCTGTGCCGTTCCCACATAAGTAGTTGCATACTGCAAACCTGTAGAAGTTCTAACGTAAGTTTCCAGCTCTCTACAAGCTTTATTTCTCGAGATCGAATACAATTCTCCCAGTCATGGGTCTAAGCTAAAGTTCAAATTTCTCGAGAACTAAAGCTTGTAGGGAGCTGGAAACTTACGTTAGAACTTCTACAGGTTTGTAGTATACAAATACTTATGTGGGAACGACACAGGTCACTTTGGCAAATGCACGACAATTCCCGTTTTCTTGATTTCTAACAGAGGAAAAAATACTGCAAAGGCTTATATAGATGTTTTATGTGGATAGCGTTTACGTGAGCAAGTTAGGATTTTTGTAGGATTTGAACTGAGTTACGATTTTTTTTCAATTTTTCGGGCCCTTGAATCTTTTTAGTTTTTGGCTCGAAACTCGTCGTGGATTAGAGCTGTTGCCAAGATAGCCATCTTGTAGAGCTTGCTTTGCTCTATCGAATGGTACCTTGCTACCTATTCAGAATTGAGAAGTGTATGACTTGTTGCGGTTGAAATTCAAAACCTGCATTAATTTCCGGACAACCTAATACAAATGTTGCCGACGAATTTTTGTCCAGTCTTTAGTATCTTTCGAAAGAGCACTTCAATATGAAATAAAGTATAAATTTTGTTTGTGTAGAGCTTACCTTCCAAAGAAGAAAGTCCGCAAAGAGGTGTGAAACCTCAATTTTTCATAGCGCGCAAATATGAAAATTTGGTTTTTTTTGACAAAAAATTTTTAAAGTGAAAAATCTCAATTTCCATTGATATTCACTAGGTAGGGAAAACTGCTCTGTATTCAAACACCGAACTGCTGTTTTCTACATCTATCAAAGCATGAAAACGAAACTTAGGAAGTCAATGAAACAAGCTTTTGGGAATTTAGTCATGTTGAGGCATATGTGCTTACTGATGATAGAAAATCCTAATTTGATATGTGATAGAGGAAGCTTTGAGCTACATTCCCACAAAAGACCATGGATAGAAAGCAACAAGAAAATTTTTTTATAGAAATTTGCAACCGAAACGAACTTATTTTTTTAGCTGACCTGGTATATTTACTTTTACTTCACCGCAGCGAAAGCAGGGCTAAAGAAAGTCTGTCGCCACTCGTTCTGTGAACTCGGATCAGTGCTGCGGATTGCGTCCCAAGCTTTATTGTGTGGCAGTGCACAGTAGGCTATGTGTGCAGGCCACGCACAGTAGCCTGTGTATGCAGCCCACAGCCTATTGTGCGCTTTTATACGCGATAAAACCGTGTGTACAGTGCTGGCCAAAACTATAGATCCACTATAAAAAACTGCCGTAGTTCATCTGCTTCTCATCGAATTGATCTGAGATTTGGTACTGCTGCGTGTTCAACAGGCTTTCATCAGTGACCGAAGCGGATCCCGCTTTCGTTGGATTATTCAGGAAAAAATCAAAAATTTTGAAAAACGTAGGCTCGAAGGTTGGCCAAAACTATAGATCCACCTAAAATTTCTGTCTGCTAAAGTAATTCTCTGCTTCCAAAGTCTTTTGTGCATGTACATAGTCGAAATTCAAAGCAGTGGCTTTAGTTCACTGCGTCATACCTTTATAAGAAACGCTTATGTGCTTTTTTTCACTCAAAAAATACTTTTATGCGTATTTTGTTTCCGAAAATGTGTTTTTGTAAAGGATTCCGCACTATTTCGACTGGTTTTAAAGGGTTCCATCTATCTTATAGATGCTTAGCAGTATGAGCAGCAGAAAAAAATCGAGTTTTTGTAATCAAAGCGCACCTGACATGGACCTAACCGTAGGCCTGCGCTCGGATTTTTGCTTTCAAAATTGGTGTACGCTACTTTTGTAAGCTCAAGATAATGTAGAAGCATTATTTAGCATTATTCACTTGAAAAGAAGTTTGTAAACTACAGTCATGATTGTTTGCGAAGTCGCATTTTAATTCTTTTTTAAAGCATAAGTCTTGCGGCGTGTTCGGCAATCTCAAAGTACTTACAGTCGAGTAGATTTCCTGCTTAATATAGTGTCTCTGCGGACGCGACAACGCTGGGGCGTCAATAAATGCATTGCGATTCCCGAGCTAGTGTTTTCCAGTGTTTTCTTTGCTTATTTCATGCTTTTTAGTTGATTCGTTGCTGATAAAGAGGAAAAGGGTAAGTTAAAGAGTAGTTTCTGTTTTCTGAGAAGTTCTATCATCGCATAATCACAGATATCACGTGGAAGCATTTCGCGTCAGCTTTTTGTTTATTTTTTTGTCATTTCCTTTTCTTTTGTCACTTTTTCTTTCAAACCTCCTCCTTCTTGTGAGGCGTTTCTTTGAACGCGCTTGTCTTGCAGCTACTTCGGCTTTCATCCATAAGAAATAGCATTTTAAATAAGTACTTCATGTGATAAAGACAATAAGTCAATCGTAAAAACCCACTAGCGTTCAAAGAAGTACCTCACAAGAAGAAAGAGACATGAAGTGAGAAAAAAAAACAGACAAGAAGCTAATGCAAACTGCTTCCACGTGGATATCTGTGAATATGCGATGATAAAACTTCTCAGAAAACAGAAACTACTCTCTAACTTACCCTTTTCTTCTTTATCAGCAACGAATCACCTGAAAAGCATAGAATAAGCAAAGAAAACACTGGAAAACACTAGCTCGGGAACTCGCCAGGCAATTATTGACGCCTCAGCGTTGTCGCGTCTGCAGGGACACTATATTAAGCAGGAAATCTACTCGTGTGCCAATTGTACCTTCCTTGAATTTTGCCACTATTTAGCTGCTGACTAGTAAATACAAAATGCGTTGAATGTTGCCTTGTGACTCACATAAGCATTATGGTCAGAACCAAAAATAACTTTAAGGCTTGTTTTACTTTAAGGACAAATCACTTTTTGCAGGAAGAAGTCTTCGAAGCTGCATACTAGGATCTGCATAAATCTGCAAGAACTGCATAGGGACTCTCACACATACTAACAATGTCATTACTCCAGTTCACGCTCATAACGACATTGCAGAAAGAGTTTGAAGGCATAATGAACGCAGGCCTACGGTTAGGTCTATGTCGGGTGCGCTTTG